ACTGTCGGGACGGCTCCAAGATGGCCGCGCGCTTGGGGTCCGCACCGGCTGGCGGCCCCAAGCTCCGTTCACTGCCACCGCTGCTGACCGGAGACGCTGGTCGGGCCGGCGACTCCGGGGGCTGTACACGCGGGGCGGGAGGCCGCCATGGCGACCCTGGAAAACCTGGCGAAAGCCTTCGAGTCCCACAAGTCTTTCCAGCAGTCGCTGCCGAGGCCTCAGCCCCCTCAGCCGGCACCGCAGCCGCCGCCGCATCGCCCCCCTCAGCCGGAACAGCCGCCTCAGACGGTACCGCCGCCGCTGCCGCCTCAGCCCCCTCAGCCCCCTCACCCGGCACCGCAGCCGCCGCCGCATCAGACCCTTCAGCCGGTACCGCCAGCCGATGCCGCCCCAGCCCCCTCAGCTGGCACCGCAGCCTCAACCGTCACCGCCGCCCGCCCAGCCCCCTCAGCCGGCACTGGAGCCGCCGCCGCTTCAGCCCCTTCGGCCGGTACCGCCGCCGATACCGCCTCAGCCCCCTCAGCCGGCACCGCCGCCTCGGCCGCCTCAGCCCCGTCAGCCGGCAACGCAGCCGCCGCCGCCTCGGCCCCCTCAACCGGAACAGCCGCCTCAGCCGGTACCGCAGCCGCCGCCGCCTCGGCCTCTTCAGCCGTCACCTCAGCCTCTACCGCCACCGCCGCCAGCCCAGCCCCCTCAGCCGACACTGGAGCCGCCGCCGCTTCAGCCCCATCAGCCGGTACCGCAGCCACCGCCGCCTCGGCCCCCTCAGCCGGAACAGCCGACTCAGCCGGTACCGCAGCCGCCGCCGCTTCAGCTCCTTCGGCCGGTACCGCCGCCGATGCCGCCTCAGCCGGAACAGCCGCCTCAGCCGGTACCGCAGCCGCCGCCGCCTCGGCCCCCTCAGCCGGCACCACCGCTGCCTCAGCCCCCTCAGCCGGTACCGCCACTGCTGCCGCCTCGGCCCCCTCAGCCGGAACAGCCGCCTCAGCCCCTTCAGCCGGCACCGCAGCCTCTACCGCCACCGCCACCCGCCCAGCCCCCTCAGCCGGCACTGGAGCCGCCGCCGCTTCAGCCCCTTCAGCCGGAACCGCAGCCGCCGCCTCAGCCCCGTCAGCCGGTACCGCAGCCGCCGCCGCTTCAGTCCCCCTCAGCCGGCACCTCAGCAGCCGCCGCTTCAGTCCCCTCAGCCGGCACCGTCAGCAGCCGCCGCTTCAGCCCCTTCAGCCGGTACC